CATAGAACATCATGGCTGGACAAGACCTTAGGACACAGAGGCCTAGAACTGAGAGGGCCCTTAGAACAGGGGATGTCAGGTCTAGAAGAGATCATAGAATGTCATGTGTGGACACAACCCTAGGACGCAGAGGCCTAGAGCTGAGGGGGCCCTTAGAACAGGGGATGTCAGGTCTAGAAGAGATCATAGAACATCATGGCTCGACAAGACCTTAGGACGCAGAGGCCTAGAGCTGAGAGGGCCCTTAGAACAGGGGATGTCAGGTCTAGAAGAGATCATAGAACGTCATGTCTGGACACGACCCTAGGACACAGAGGCCTAGAGCTGAGGGGGCCCTTAGAACAGGGATGTCCCTGTCAAAGAGCCCACCCAGCCCAGCACCTTATCATGGGGCCAGTGAGAGGCTCGCCCCACTGCCGTCGAGCCGGGGCTCCTTCCGGGACCTCCCTCTGCTTCCCTTTGCGTCGGCTTCTTCAGGAGGGAGGTCTGGTGGTGAGGAGGTCAAGGCCTGGGCCTCAGGAGGCTGGTAGGAGGGTTGACCTTGGTCTGGGGTGGCCCCATGTCCTGCATTAAGCTTCTCCTCTGTTTTCCTTGCAGGTGGGGCTGTCTCCCCCCCTCCTGGGGCCTTCCGTTCCCCTCCCGGCACCCCCCGATCCCCAATGCTGGGCCTCATCGGCAGGCCTCGGCCTTCGCCCCTTCGGAGCCGCATAGACCCCTGGAGTTTCGTGTCCACTGGACCCCGCCCATCCCCGCTTCCATCTCCGCAGCCTACGCCACGCCGAGCCCCTTGGACCCTGTTCCCAGACTCAGACCCCTTCCGGGACCCCCCACCCTTCGACCCTTTTGGGCCAGAGTCCCCCCAGATCAGGAGAGCTCAGACCAAAGACATGGGGGGCCAGGCTCCTTGGGGAGCCACAGAACCAGAGGGGAGCCCCTGAGTGAGGGGGGCAAGGCATACCCCACAGTGAGGTGGGAGCGCCTCAGAGCCTTTCAGGGAGCTGGCCCTGGGGAAGTGGATGCCCCCCAAGGGGGACCTTCAGCCAGAGGGGGCCCCTCTCCAGGAGCCACTATATACACTGGAAACGGAGAAAGGGGCCGGACCCCCAAAAGGCCACTGTATCCATGGGGCTGGTGGCCCCTGCCCCACTATTTCCCTAGTCCCTCTGGAAGGGGCTGAGCAGTCTCTAGGAGCTAGGGCCCTTTCCCAGCTGCCGCAGTTTCTTCTAGAGGCTCCCAGTTCTCCTCTAAGGTGGCCCTTTTTGGGGGGGGGGACACAAGATGGGATGAAACCTCCCTTCCCTGGAACACTACGCTGCACCTGAAGCCTTAACACTGGACTGAGGAGAGGCTGGGGTCACCCCTGCCTCTGCAGTCTCTAGGGGACCTCTGAAGCCACCCCCTTGCCCCTCTTCTTCCCCAACTGGGGCTCGACACTGTAACTGGCTGGTTTAGGGGGCACCAGAACCTGTCTCAGGGAATCACTGTCCGCCCTTCCCCTGGCCCCGGGGCAGGAGGCAGGGAGTGCAAAGCTATGTGGTCGTGGCCCCTGGGGACGGGGGAGAGAGAGGGCCTGATGTGTCCAGGGGTGACTGGGCAGTCATCACCCTCGGGATGTGTCCCACTGTGTTTCCCCACGCCGGTGGCCCAGAGAGTGTTTGGGACGGGGCCTCATCCCCTAAGGAGGGCAGGAGCGCACTGCCCACTGCAGCTTGTCATGTCCTTAGAGATGGGGACTCCCAGAACACTCCCCCCACCTCCCAGCCCTGGTCTGGAGGTCACAGCCTAGACTCTAGGCCCTAGAGTGCCACTGAAACCAAATAAACTTCAGCTGTCTACACTGGCTCAGCTTTGTTCTGTTGGACTATGGGAGAAGGTTCTGGGAGTAACTGGCATCTGGCCTTAGGACCTAGAGATGGGATGTCAGCAGCTTTGGAAATTCAGTCAGTCCACAAAGAGTAAGGACTTCGGGCACAGGAGACAAAAACGAACCGTCCTGCCCTCGAGATTACCTTCTATTGGGGAAGACTGCGGGCCTGAAAAGGGAACTGCCCAAAATGGCAAGCTCTGGGGGAGCGGGCGATGGCGAGTGTGGAAACCCTTCTGGGCGATTTCATGTCCTAAATCAGTGTTCTTCTGTTGGCCTTCTCAGTGGGGGGGTGGGGGCAATAGGGAAAGGATTTGGCACTCGAGAAATATTAAAAAATTAATATTAAAAAACATGCAAGCAAGACTCTTTACCCTCAGATGAGGAAAATAATGTGCAAACACATACATACAAAGCAAGTTAAATGTAGCAGACAGGAGATAGTTAACCAAGGGAAGATGCTGGTATTGAGGAGGCTGGGGAAGGCTTCCTGGAGAAGGTGGGCTTTAGTTGGGCCTTCATGGAAGCCAGGAAGGTCAGCGGTCAGAGCAGAGGAGGGGGAGCCTGTCCAGGCCTGGGGGAGGCCAGAGAGAAGGTCCAGAGTAGAGAGAGGGAGGCAGCAGGTGGCCGGGGTCACCAGGTAGAAGAGTACAGTAAAGGGTCAGAAGACTGGAAAGGTGAGAAGGGACCAGGTTACGGAGGGCTGTGAAGGCCAAACAGAGAATTCTGTTGAGTAGGGGGTGACAGGATCAGACCTGGACTTGAGGAAAATCTCTTCGGTGGCTGAGTGGAGGATGGACTGGAGTGGGGAGAAGCTTGAGGCAGGCAGGCCCCCCCCACCCCCTCTGCCGGCAGTTCCTGCAATAGTCCAGGTGTGAGGGGACAAGGGTCTGCACCAGGTGGGGGCAGTGTCAGGGGAGGGAGGGAGGGAGGGAGGGAGGGAGAAAGAGAGACAGAGAGAGAACAGAGAGAGGAGGGGGCAGGGAAGGAAAAGAGACAGGGAGGGAAAGGGAGAGAGAGAGACAGAGATACAGAGAGAGAGAAAGTGTGTGTGTGTGTTTGGGGGGAGCACTAGCAGCTGGGGGGATCAGGAAAAGGAAGCCTGTAGAAGGGGGTCCGGGGGCTGTAGGAGGCTGAGGTAACATGGGAAGGCATCCCAGGCAGGGGGGTAGACGGTACAAAGGCCTGGAGGTGGAGATGCAGTGTTGGACCACCAACAGAACCCTTAAGGCTTGGCTGCTGTTCTGATGATTAGTGGGGTGGGGAAAGTAAGCCCCGGGTTTTTCTTGCAGGCCCTAGAACTGTGGGAGCTTGGCCTGGAGATCTGGGGCCTATCTGGTCCTCAGTTTCCCCACCTGTAAATTGAGAATGGTGGGCCAGATAATCTCTTAACCTTTTCCCAGATCTGGCTCCTGGGACATTCTGGGCCACCATGGCTGCTCCCCTCCCTCCCTCCCGTGGCTGGTGAAGTGGCAGCCTGAGAACGTACACACAGGGGTGGAAAGGAGAAAAGAGTCCCAGGACCTGTGGGTTCTGCTAATGGCTGAGTGTGCTTGGACAAGTCTCTTTCCCTCTGTTCCATCAGTAAATTGCGAGATGCTTTTTAAGGTGACTCCTATCTCTCTCCCCTGGTCCCCAGCCCACACACCTCCAGCATAAGGCTCCTCCCTCATCCTAGGTTCTCATTCCCTCTCATTCTCCCACATGGGGCACCGCCCTTGTCCTCCTCCCAGCACCCAGGAGCCCTGTTTCTCAGCTGCTTGCTCTCTGTCCCTGCCTCTCAGAGCGCAGGAGCCCTGTGCCACTCCCCTCCCCGGCTCCTGGATCTGAGGAGCAAGGGTGATGCTGGGCATGGGACCCGGGACCCGATACTGGCTGCTCCTGGCCTGTTATCTGGCCTATTTACTGCTAGGGTCTGCTGTGTTCATGGTCATTGAGGGTCCCCCTGAGCGTAGGCTCCAGGAACAGCTGCTGGGGCACCTGGCTGCCTTCCAGGCAGACCACCGGGATTGCTTGTCCTCTGACAAGCTGGAGGAACTGCTGGAGGCAGTCCTGCGAGCCCAGGCCTGTGGCGTCTCTGCCCTGGGCAATGCTACCGAGCCAGAGAACTGGGACTTTGCCTCTGCTCTGTTCTTTGCTGTCAGTATCCTCACCACCACAGGTAAGGGGCCCTGGAGGAAGGGGAGAGGCCAGGGGACCAGGCTGGATTCCTAGAGTCCGTACACTGCTGACCCCCATGGGGTGGAATGGTGGCCAGGGTCTTCCTCTCCCTGCCCTAGAGCTCCTGGATGGGGCAGCCCACTGACAAGACCAGAGATTCCCCTCTGCACACACACAGGCTCCCAGCGTGGGGTGCAGGGGGATATCCTCTCAGCCCCTGACGCTCCCCAACCGGTACCTCCAGTTTATCAGCCAAGAGGGGTGTGTTCTGTCTTTGAGCCCCACCCACTCCAGGCTGCTCCCTCTGGACCTGGAGATAGGCAGGACCTGGCTCAGAATCTCAGATTTGGGAGGTTCTGAGGTCTCTGACAAATGGAGAGCTATAGGGGCAGCAAGGAGGCGCAGTGGACAGAGCACTGGCCCTGGGTTCAGGAGGACCTGAGTTCAAATCTGGTCTCAGACACATAACACTTACTAGCTGTGTGACCCTGGGCAAGTCACTTAACCCGATTGCCTAGCCAAAAAACAACAACAACAATAACAAATGGAGAGCTACCTTCTGCTTGAAGCCCTCTAGTGATGGAGAGCTCACTCCTTCCCAGCTCTGTTGGGAAGATGTTCCTGGGATCAAGGCCCGATTTGCCTCTATGCTACTCCCACCCTTGGTTCTGCCCCCTCCAGTTAAAAAAAAAACACATCCGACCCTCTCCCCATGACAACCCTTCAAATATTTGAAAGCGAGGATGGCCCCGCCGGTTCCCCCCACTCCAACTTTTCTCTTGTCCAGGATATTATTATCTCCATTTTTACAGATGAGGAAACTGAGGCTCAGAGAAAATAAGGGACCCAGCTAGTAAGTGTGTAGAGCAGATTTTGAACTCAGGCCCTCTGGACTTCAAATAGTCTATGAAGCCACTAGGGGGTGCAGGCGATGGTGTTTGGGTTTTTGCTTAAAAAAAAAAAAAAAAAAACCAACCAAACAAAAAAGTCAATCCCCAACATCCAGCTCAGTACTGGCTGGCTCAGAGCGTCTGTTGAATTGAATCGTTATTTAGAGTTCCAATTGTCAATCTCCCAGTGAAGGGGTCCATAAACTGAGAGCTGGGATGCCTAGGATCCAGGATTGGCACTGCGATGGCTGGCTGGGTGACCTTGAGCAAGTCATTGCCTTCTCTGGGCCTCAGTTTCCCCACTTGTCAAATCAGGAGGTCGGACCCAAAGGTGAGAATTCTCTCGAATCTCTTGGCTCAAGAACTCTGGGACATGGTCATGTGACTCTGCATTGTCGAGGGGGAGGGGTCACCCCCAAATCCAGCCACCCTTCCTTAAATGCCCACAAGGTACAGAGCTTTGTGCCAAGTGCTGGGGCATCCCTGCAGAAGGAGGATTGTTCTAGGCATTCATGGGAAGAATTAACAGAAGTGACAAAGAGACAGATAATGAATTTGGGCTCTGGAGGAGAGAAAAGCTTGCTAGTGAACTGAGCCATCAAAAGTGGAACGGCTGCTTGCATAGGTAGTGAGCTCCCCATCTTGCGAGGTCTTTGAGAAGAGGCTGTGTGGCTACTTGTCAGGGATGTTGCAGGGGCCATTTTTTTTTTATTTCTTTGTTTTTTGCTATGCAATGGGGTGAAGTGACTTGCCCAGGGTCACACAGGTAGTAAGTGTCAAGTGTCTGAGGCTGGATTTGAACTCAGGCCCTCCATTCTCCAGGGCCAGCACTCTATCCACTGTACCACCTAGCTGCCCCCTGCAGGGGCCAATCTTGTTCCTGCCTGGCTGGGCCTCCAGCCTCTGAAGGCCTGAGTTTTGCAAGTTGACCTCCGAGGAAGGGGATACACAGCATGCCCTGATAAGCACCTCTGTTGGGAACCTGGGGGAGGGGCAGTTTCCAGAAGTTCAGGGGGGCTCAGGAGTCAGAGAGGGAGAGAAGGGTGGCTGCCAGGCTTCCTGGTGTGGGGTCGGCTTCGTTGGGGAGCTCCGTGGGTCTGGAGACCTGAGAGCCAGGAAGGGGTTGGGCGGGGGACAGGCCTTGCATGTCTGGCAGGCCACCTTCTCAGTCCCTCCTTCCCTCTCTTCCCCCTCCGCCCCTGCCCATCCAGGTTACGGCCACACGGCCCTGCTCTCCGACGGCGGGAAGGCCTTCTGTGTGGGCTTCGCCCGCGGGTCTCGTGCTGGTGGCTGTCCTGCACCAGCACCTGCTACGCCCGCTGCGCAGCCTGGTGAGCCGGGTGGCCGCCTGCTGCGGCCTGGCCCCTGCCAGGGTCCCCTGGCTCCAGGCTTCCCTGCTGGGCCTGACGGTCGGAGCCATCTTTGTTCTGCTGCCCACCCTGGTGCTCTGGAGCCAGGAGGACGGCTGGAGTCTGCTGGATGCCTGCTACTTCTGTTTTATGTTGCTCAGCACCATTGGGCTGGGGGACTTCGTGCCCAGCCAGGACCGCCACCCTGCCCTCTACTGGCTCTCCCAGCTGGCCCTCATCTGTGAGTAAAGGAGATGGTCACCGGGGCGGGGTGGGAGCCCAGGATCCCTCAGGACCATGCAGCCACCTTTACACTCAACACTTAGTCCCTAAGTCAAAAGTAGCTCTAATGGTGGAAATTCAGGCACCATGGCAGGCCAGTGTGGCAGAGGAATTGAATTGGATCATCTACTCCAACTCCATCATTTGCAGAAGAGAAAGATGACTCCACTGAAGGCGTAATAAGTGCCAGAGTCGAAATTTGAACCCAGGTCCTTTGACTCCAAACTTGGCGCTTTTTCCTAAGTGGGGGGGGACCTTCCAGGGTCTTTGGTTTAAGCAGAAGGTGAATGACAAAGAAGCCCGGGGAGGGGATTAGCTGGCATTTGGTGACCAAGCCTCCCCAAGCGGGCTGCTTTGGGGCCCTTCACTATGAGGGCTCTTTCCAGCAGCGGGAGACAGCTTACCACAGTTGGCGTATTTTTAAGAATTAAGGAAGACTTCAGAAGGATCTTCAAACTGCACAGAAAGCTCTGGTGGGGGAGGCAGACGCATCTTGCTCCCCTTGGCCAGAGAGGGCAGTGCTAGGAATGGTGGAGCTAGGGGGAGTTGGCCGCCTGTCAAGGGTGTGACTGAGGAGATTACTGATGCCTCGAAGGTCCCTTCTGTGACTGCCACCGAGAAGCTGGCCTGCCGCGGAAGGGAAGGAGGACTCTACCTCTCACTGCTCCCCATCCCAGGGGCCGAGGGCTCAACTGCCCATCGGACGCAGAGACAGGCGACTCTCCCAGGCTGGGACCCAGGGGCCAACAGGAAGGGGGGAAAGACACAGCAGGAGAGGAGGTTGGGGGCAGGAGCCCAGCCGCTCTTTCCAGGCAGGGGTGCAAACAATGTGAACTCTGGCCGCCCAGCGGCCTTCATCCTCTTCTCTCCCTCACTCTCACTCTCCTCCACCAGGTTACCTGCTTCTGGGGCTGCTCACCCTGCTATTGACTCTGGAGACAGTCTCAGAGCTAAAGGAGGTCCGAGCGGTCATGGCCTTCTTCAGCTACAGCACCTCCAAGAGCCCAGAGGACCAAACGGGCATTATGACTCAGGATGCTCTGACCCTTAGCAACTGCCCGCCTCCTACCACCTTCCCTGGGACAGGTCAGCACCCCCAGAGCTGCCCCACGGAACTTGGAGCGTCCCCCCCCCATAGTGTGAAGTGGGGTTGATGTGGCCAAGTTGGAAAACGGCTGGAACTGTGGGACTTGGGGGAGCAGGTGGGATGCTGTGAGCTTTAGGGGATGGGTGTATGGGTGTGTGTGTGTGTGTGGCCTGGCATGGGTGTCTGTGTGTGGTTTTGGGGTGTATGTGTGTGGGGGGGATAGATGGGTGGCGTGGGGGGGGTGTATGTGAATAAAGAAGAGCGCGCTTTCTGCTTGTCTTCGGCTCAGTCTCTCCCAGCCCCCTCAGATCCAAGCCCCCAGGCCCGGCCACAGCAGCCCAGGGGCTTTGGTAAAAAGTAATGCTTGGCATCTGACACTGGAACAGCCCCGCCCTTCTACAGCAAGGCCAGGGAAGGAACCAAACTTGCCCAAAGCCACAGAAGCCCGGCTCAGCTAGTTTTATAGTGCAGGCTACCCTCAGTGTCCTCATCTGTAAAATGGGCAATGTCTCTTGTCCTACGCCCCTTCCCCTCCTTGATGTGAAGGGAAGTCCTTGGTACCACAGGAACATGAGCTCTTGTATGTTACTCAGAGCTGGAGGATGCGGAGTCTTCACCCCTTCGTTTGGTGCAGGAGGAAGCTGGGGTGCTGAGGGGCCTCGCCTGTGCCCAGAGCCGACCTAGGATGCAGACCCGACCTGGGCTGCACAGCCAGACCTGGGAGGGCTGCCTTATTTGCATACAAACAGGCAAATCTGCCTCCCCCAGCCTCGCCCACCCTTCCGCCGCTCCTCCCTACGCCAAACCCACCTGGCCTGGGCGGCCGCGAGGAAAGGAGAGCGCGGAGCCCGAGCTCCAAGTCAGAATTTATTGTGGCAAACTCCTGGATGTGGAGGTGCGGTCCCCGAGGGTGGTCCGGGGCACCAAGGGATTTGGGAGACGATTTTGGCAGCCAGTCATCACCACAGGCTCAATTATCGATGGTTCTGTAGCCCCACCTCTGTTAACAAGAGCCAAGGGAGCCCTTCTTTGCTGGGCCGGGGGAAGGGGGATGAAGGTTGGGGGACTGAGCCATGGAGCGCTCTGTCCCCACCCTCTCTCGTTCGTTTAGAGAAGGTCCAAGAACCCACTGGAGATGGTCGAGGGTCCCTAAGTGCAGCGGGCCCCTAGGCTCCCACGCGTACACAGATACACACACACACACACACACACACACACACACGCTTCAATAAATACGGCCCGTTGGGCGCGGGGTTGGAGACTGGGCGGACCTCGCCGCTAGGGTCCCCCCACGCTCCCGGAGTGCTGCAAACCAGGCTCCACGGCGGTCTCTGGTGGCCACGCGCGGAAAGGTACAAGTGGGGCAGGGAGGGTCGAAAGCTGAGAGGCAGACCCTTTGGGGGTGCAGGAAGGCGGAGCGCCGGACCGCGAGGCCAGTGGCTGGACTGCATCTGCCTGACCTAGGCCGGCCCAGCCGCAGGAGCCAGGCAGATCGGAAGGGAGTAGAGACCCTCTGGCCCAGTGCCGGGGCCGCCTGGCTCACCCTGCTCGACGGGTGGTGCCAGGGGATCCCCAGGACTGGGGGCTTAGGACCTCAGGAAAGTCAGACGGCCGTAGCCCGGGACAGCGGCGACCCTCGTTCCGCACCCACCCCGAAAGGGAGCGGTCACCCTAAGGGACTGGACGGGGGTCCGCGGCCCGGCTCAGCTCAGCAGGCAGCGCTCCCGACGGCTCAGCTGTCGGCTCAGCTTCCGACGCCGCTGCTCCAGCCCCCGCTCCAGGCGCTCGTCCTCCTCCAAGGCTCTGGGAAAAGAAAGGTCAACGTCCGAAGTCAGACCGGGCCCTGGGGCAGGCCGGCCATCGGAGCCCCTCCTGGGTCCATACACCCTCCCCGGTCCAGGGTTCAGACGGTGAAGGGTCAAGGGGGTCGCAGGGCAGCGTAGGATTCAGAAGTGGGCTGGCTGAAGCTCTTTCCGCCTGTCACGTTCCACCGCCCACCAGACAAGCAGGTGAGGGTGATCACCCCCCACCCACCCACACAGTGCCACCAAAATCTGGACAAGTCTGAGCAAGCAACTCCAGGTGCCATCTCAGAGCAATCCCCCCCTCCCCAGGGAAGGCACGGGGCACAGCTGGCCGCACTCACATCCTCTCCTTCTTATCCAGATCTCGCACCAACTCATCCCGCTGGTTCACCAAGGACACCAATTCCTCCAACAAGAGCTGCTCCCGGTGCTGCTGGGCTTCCGTTTTCAGCCAGTCTGGGGATGGGGCACAGAAGCAGGGGAGGGGAGATGAGAAGGCTAGCTCTGTTCTTGAGGTTTGTCTGTGGGGCTGTCTGGTGCCTCTCTCTGGGACCCTATGTCTTGTCTATAGATCTGTGTCTGCCTTGTCTGTCCTGTCTGTCTTGTCTGTGTTTTGTCTGTCTCATTTCAAATCAATAAACATTTATTAAAGACTTACTCTGCCCAGGGGCCTGTGCTGGGCAGCAGAAATACAAAGCCAACACCCTCCCCCCCCCCCCAAATCAGTCTCTGCCCTTAGGGTGCTGACAGTTCATCAGTGTGTCCAGAAGTAAGGTAATACAAAGTAGACTGTACAGGAAGGGCTGGAGAAAGAGACAGACACAGACACAGACACAGACACAGACACAGACACAGACACAGA